CATCTGTTGTATACAGCGAGCAAGGAAAAAGAAATGTTTATCAATAACGCGTCAATATATTTTTGTTTATCGATTATGTTATGTAATCAAAGAGAAAAAGAAAAGACTTTTGATTAGGTAACAATCAAAATGTTATATAAACGCGTCCTATTTAATTTTTAACGTAAGTAAAGAAAAGAAGTTAGTTGCTCAGCTATTAATTTATAAATATAATATATATAATTTCGAATTAATCGACGCGATCCCTTAACGAATAAAATATTTCTGAAGAGATGTTCTGAAGAGATCGAAGTTCAGAAGTATAATAATAATATTACACCACCTTATTATCTTCCTTCTTTCATAAAAGAAGATGATCTTTTTTCTTCTTTGGCTTGGGCTCCTTCTCAAATTCACGCAAGGAGCAATGGCGGCGGCTTGTCACGATAAAGCGAAAGTAAAACGATACGCACGGTCCCGCCCGGTAGGATCTCTTCTTCCGACGTGTTTGTTCAAGGTATATCTTTCTACGAGCCTCGAGGGACGACGTCCGGATGAGAGGAGGAGCTCCCTTGATAGGCGAGAGGGCCCTGTACGTGCAGCTGCGTCCACACGCATGCCGTTAGCACGCGCTTATCTCGTCGCGCTTTCATAAACAAGGCATTCGTCCGCGACGCTTAACGAATCGTCTATTATGCGCGTAATTAATCAGAATCGTAACTCAAATTGGCCACTCGTGAAAAATGCATATGCAAATACGCGACACTTCGATTTAGAATAGCGTGAAAATAAAGTGTATATTTTACTTTCATTAGTGTAAATTGAGTGTCGCGTTTGCATATGCATTTTTCACGATTTTGAATAAATCTTTTGAATGTCACTTTTCTGTCAAATGCTATTGCGTTAAATAGTAAGTATATCCGACAAGCGTTAATATTTTATATTGTTAAAATATGAACTTTTAATTGGGAACGTTTTTATTCACTTAATTTTATTAATGTTTACTTCTCTGTAATTGAGAGCAACATTTCCATGTTGACTAAATCATCTAATTTTAATGAAAACAATTTTTCAAAAATATTACACAAACTCCGGCTCACTCGCGATAGTACAGAAAGAAAAGTTTACTGAAGTACTTACTTAAAAATTTGATACAGATTTGAGAAATTGTAGAAAAAGATATATACAGAGTGTCTGTTGAGTAAGGTCGGAGCCACATTGGGGGTGTCGAATGGGTGAAGGAACAAAAAATTAACAAGATATTAAAATGGTTTACTAAAAATGGTCGAATATTGGTCTTTTATCATTTTTTTCTCAAATACTATCAATTTTACAAAAAAACTATAAGAGATAAAAATTATTTATTTTCTTTTCATAGAACTCTAAGAATTTTTTCAGAATTTTTTTATCAACTTTTTAGTAATACATTTTCTTATTTTTATTATCATGAGGAAATATGGTATTAAAAAATTCTGAAAAAATTCTCAGAACTTTATGAGAAGAAAATAAACAATTTTTGTCTCTTACAGTTTTTCTGTAAAATTGATAGTATTTGAGAAAAAAATTATTAAAGACCAATATTTGGCCATTTTTAGTAATTAATATCTTATTAACTATTGCGAAAATTGCGAAATGGTATAAAACTTTTTTGTTCCCCTTGACCCATTCTACGCTCCCAATGCGACTCTGACCTTACCTAAGAGACACCTTGTATAATATGTGTGGAGAATTTTATTGGACCGTCAAACTAATTATACATGCAAAGACGTTCAAATTGATTACTAGAATGTCAAACTTTTTGTAATATGCTTGAACCTTTTACGTAATTATTTTAATTGTTCAACAATTATTTTTTTATGATTTAACAAAATTATTTTCAAATCTGTACGTAGCTAAATTTTTTATTATAGATATTTTAAAGGCAAAACCGTTCATTCCATAAAATACAAGATGTATGCACCGACGTGGAAACACCTTTAAACTTTATGTATGTAATACCGGTAGTTTCGATCCGAATTATCGATCGGATGCTTCAGGGTACAACGCAATTTGCGCTCTTAAGTAATATACGATCGACGAAAATGCGATTATCGATGTCGAGACCTCAAGTAGGCGTGAAGCCAGTCTCATCGTTTAATAATTCTTTCGCCCTGACGATAACGAACTTGGCGCAAACGAGGTTGCGATTTTCCATTAATAGTCGAATTAAAATGTAAACGATGTGCACTGCGGAACTCTGTGCAAATCCTTATAAAAAGAATGAAAAAAATTTTGGTCAATTTACCATATAAATTTAATCTAATAATTCTAGCGAATTAAAATTGCGTAAAAACAAATTTCATGATTTTATTAAATTGAATTACGCAAAAAAATTTATCAAATATTTAAATTAAAATATTCCGATAATACAAATATTATTCATAAGTCATTATTAGAAAATTTTATTAATATTTAACACAGCCAAATATATTTTGCATATCTTTTTTTCAATCTCTTACATCTTTCTCAAGTTTAATAAGTAAAAAGCTGCACACGCGCCTCAGGTTCGACGGCCGTCTTACGCGATAAATCCCTTTTGTTTGGAAATGATGATGACCACGCGTATCCCCTTCATTAATAATTAATAACAGCGCGAGCGTGCGCTCCGAAGAAAGAGAAGGTAGAAGGACTTCAGATAACGGCGAAAAATCTTAATTACAGATTCGCTGCGTTGCATAATGCTTCGTCGTGACGTCGGCCGTTTTTTTTCTCTCTCTCGTCTTGTCCCGCCGAGAAGAAGCGGAGGCGGTTACCCCGCTTATCGATCCCTTATCGAGATACCGGATCGAGCCTCGTGTCCGGTCACGGGTGGACGCCGGATTTCATGGATACGCGTGGTACGCGCGATCCGCAGGTGTAAAAGGGCCCCCGTTTAATTATTCCGAAATGAAGGTACGCTGACGTGCAATAATTGTCACGCGTCTCTCTCCTCCTTCTTCTTTATTCCCCGGATTTATGCTGCCCTTTGTAGCCGGTTGAGCACTTTTGTGGACTCCGTTCGTTCCGCCTTAACACGATCGTAAAATCGCCGAGCAGATCGCTGAAAAAGCGATCCGCGATTTCTCGAACCCAGCTGCTCACGAGAAACATTCTCTCTAAGGGATCATTGCATCGCAGGACGATTTCGTTCGTGATTTGGTTCGATATTATTATTAAGAGATTAAATACTCTTTCGACACTCACGAGTTTATTATATACGTTTGAGTTTATGACACAATTTACCAAAAAATATTTCAAAGGCTCACTTTAAATGCTCTCAGGCTTCTCAAATCTGTATCGTTTTATACATTTTCAGTATTTCTGTCCTAAGAAATTTCTCCGACCATAAGAAATTTCTAATTAAGATTAAAATTACAATTATTATCTTTATAAATTAATTTGATCAATGAACAATAAATTTGCAAATTACACTTGCCAGCGAATTACGAATTATTTGAGTTTTTGTGACATAACAATTTGAAAAAAGTGCTCTTTTTTCATGTAATACATGGAAAAGACATTTTCGTCTTAATACTGCGTTATGTAGAAAGTGCTTTCACGTGATACTGTATTTATATTTTTATTATATACTGTACTTTAGATCGTAGTAATTAAAAAAAACCGGCATGAAATTGATAAAATACTATATACTATTTTCAATTTGTTATATTTTGAAAATGAGAAATCTCTCATACCGAAACAAAACAAAATGCATTTTAAAACTCAAGGTTAACATGTATGGCACTAACAAAATTTCGAAAAAGCAAGCTGCCGATGTCATAAAAGTGTCGTTTTTCCTAAAATTGTGACGCGATAGTTAAATTTGGAAAACGAATTTGTGTTCGATAAACAATAATACATTAAAAAGAAAAAACAATTTTTCGCAAACTAGCTTATATTATCTTGCGAATACTGCTTATTAGTCAGAAATGAATGGAAAAGTCATTAATTCCTCAGATACTTCTCACTCATATGTGTATTAAGAATCCACATTGGTCGTTATCGATAAGAAATTAAAGATCATAGAACGCGCACTTTAACGTCTATAAAATCGAAGTACCCGAATCTTAATATAGACACAACTGCATTCACAAAAAAAACCGCATATCCTGCAGCGCTCTACAGTTCCGGTCATTAATACTCGCGCGATGGAAAGTGAAAACACAAGCAGTTCCGCAGGCCGCGAACAGGTTCCCTGGCGAATTGAAATTCCACGGCGGCCCGTAATACTCGCGCGCGCGACGAGGGTGATTTTTAATGGCGATGCCTCTTAATTACCGTGACCAGCGTAAAAGAAGGACGCCGTGGAGGAGCCAGCCGGGCCCCCGGAATATGCACGGATCACGTAAGACGTCGACGACGACGATGACGACGACGACGACGACGACGCCGACGACGATGACGACGACGTCGACGTCGACGTTGCACCTGGTCGAACGACCAGGCCAGATGCGTATCTCAAACGATGCGGTTATTATTAATTCTCTTAGTTTTTTTTTCTTTTTCTATCTCTTCCCCCTTCGTCGCCACCACTCCCACCTCCACCGCCGCCACCATCAAATATACCGCAATTAATATGCACGTCGCGAGAGGCGGTTAATTGGAGAAGCGAGCGAGGTTTTTTTCCCCTATCGCGAAACTCAGCGTGACTCGACGAACTCTGTCCTCACGACTCGCCAGCTTGATGTTTATTTAGGTAAGGTGGCTTGGTAGTTGCATCAGTTAACTATTTTAATAATGTAATAATTAATAATTAATATAAAATCATTTATATGAAATAATTAAAATTTGACAATTTTGTGGAAAATTGTTTAATTAAGAATGCAATATTTATCTCGTAGTATTTGTACGTGAACGTTTATTATTTTTCCGTGGGTGTAGAAGCAATGAGGAAAAAAATTGGAAAAAGTAGCACGGAAAACACGTTTATCCTCATCCTTACCATCCCGACTCCTAATCCCTCAGGTCCTTACATCCTATAGAATGTCTTTTCCTGCTTGCAGGGGTAGCGGCACCGCCCTACCAGAATCTCCGGTCGGCCAGGTCGGCAACAGATGGAGGTGAGTGATTTTTCTCCAGCTCGACTTATCTTCCTTATTCCATCTCTTTGCCTCTCCTATCCTTCCGTATGCGAAAAGAATGCGAAAATAATCCAGTGTGGTGACATCTCTCTCTCTCTCTCTCTCTCCCTTCCTCCCTCCCTTTCTCTCTACCACACATATGTACACAACAGATGCCAAAGTAAAAAGAAACATAATTTGTTAAACACGGTATTTCGAGAAAATAATAACTGTTGAGCTAAAAATGAGAGGAACTTTTTCAATATTGAAAAATTGTTATTAATTTCACAAATTTCACAATACAAATAAACAAAGAAAACTATACTTTTCCTTTAAGTTGAAATAAATATTTTGTTAGTATTAATATTAGGTTAATTGGGAGATTATCTAGAGAAATAAATTGTTAGTTAAAGAAAGAAATTGTAGGAGAACATTTCAAATGTAACATCCGTTTGAAAATTTTCGCTATGAGAATGAAATAATAATATTAAATTGGGACAACATTCCCGAAGAAATCTATACCTAAGTTGTAGATGCTGTTGGAGAAAATTCCGAAGAATGTATAAAGGCTGAATCTTAACAGTTAGAAATAGGCCGAATGAAAAGAATGCTCTTCAATGTTATAGCCTTCGACTTCCCGTTGCGAAAATTTTCCAAGGATACGTAGTCGCTATTGATTCCGGAGGCTGTTCCGCCCTTACGCACCCTCGCGGTCTTTCTCTTCCCTGCTTCCAAGCACGTCGCTCGTTTCCTTTTCCTCAGCTCCTCCCTCGACATATTTCTCCCTCGTCCCTCTATCACTATCTTCTTCCATCTCCCGCGCTTGTCTCTTCCCCTCATCTCCGAAATATCCCAGTTGCTTCTCCTTGCTGTGCTTACACCAATCCACGAAGGGGTTAAAACTACCCCAAGCTTATAGCTGCTTCCGCGTTCGTTCCACTGACGAAACTATGTTCGATATCACGAAATCACGCGAAAACCACATGTAATCATCGGAAATCCAATCGTCTAGTAGATTATTCTAGTCTACTAGACATCGACGATTTAGACAGTCTAAAATCCAAATGTATCTAAAATCTAGAATCGTATATATTTGCTATATGATATATAAAACAAATATATTTTGCGTATTTAATATTTATACGAAATATTTAATATTTTAATATTTTCTAATCGCTCCTTCGACATAATCAACGTTCGATATTTCTACAATACATATTTTTTACTTGTTGAAAGGAACAAGCTTGAAAGGAATTTATGAAAAAAAGAAAGAAGTAAATTTCATACGGAAGATAGAAAAGTTTCAAAAATTTCAAACTCTTCTCCACGTATATTTCAAAAATTACTCACATTGATAAAAAAGATTAATGAGATATAGAATAAAAAAAAATAATGAATATAATTATGAAAAATGTGCTTAATGGTATAACATTGTGGTAAACTTTTTAGAGTTTGTAATATTGATTAAAATTTACACAGCAATCAAAAAAACGTGCTCAGAAAATACAAAAAAAATTACATGAGATGAGCATGTACATTTTCTTAGACCTTCAGAAACCTTTAGTCATCGCACATACGAAAAAGAATCTTGAAATTTACGTTTGGAGAATGACTATATCTACGATTTCAACGGTTACGTTCAGCAGAAAAAGCTTTGCACCTGTTATAAGATTCTTTAATACGATTATTGAAAAATTCTTTAATATGATTAACTTTATGCATTTAGATCCAGCGAGAACTAAGAACAAGAATGAAATATTTAAAAATCTTGCAATAGTTGTAAAGTTTCTTCGTGCTTCGAGAAGTTTCTCTTCGAATCGGAGAATTCAAAGAAGATAGTTTGAACGAGTTAGAGCTATGCGCGCGCAAAGAATGCTTCCCTTTCATTTACATCCGCCGGACAAGATCGACCTTGAGCAGTCCTGTTGAAATCGAAGAGTCCTGTTGAAGGCCAGCCTGAAATCCATTAATTTTTATGCGCCCGGAAACCATTTGTCGATCCCACGCGCACTTGGGCCGCACGCTTCACTGATAGCGGTATTTACGAGCCATGCAACTATTAATTATCTTTAAACGTTACCTGAACCTATCCCAACCCCATTCCAATTACCATGAGGAACAAAGGAGCCGATATGCACTTCGGTAATAAAAAGAATTTCATTTGTCACTCACATGTCTACTCACGCGCTACTCAATTCCTCTTTACTTAACACTTTCATATAATTAACAACATATCATAACTGCGCCAATTATCATTATCTTTACGTATAATATATCGTACACAATATCGGAACGTTCTAAGCCGGGGCGAAAGCGATTTCGTGGCGCGTGGCTGGAAATTCTGAAGTGAGGCTAAAACAGGAAGAAATCGCAAACGGCGGAAGACGCTCGTTTTCTGGGGAGCCATCGTGGATTCACGCTCGACCGAGGGGATAATCGATTGGCCATTCAGCGGAATTAGTTGATTGAGACAAGGTGGTCGATATACGTTCTGGCTCACGGTACAGAAACGCGCGTCAACACGTGGTACAGAGACTTATGAACAAGGGTGACACAAAGGATATTCAAAAAAAGTGTCTTCTCTGTTTCCCTTCTCTTCTGTCTCTCCCTTTTTCTTCTTTCTTTAAACTTGCTTCAAGTCAAGGCGATTCGTTTTCCGCCGAGATACACGTACATCGTTGCGGCGTATTATCGGTCATTATTTTATTGTCGGATCCATCCGTATTGTTTGAACATGTCAACACAATTCGGAAGATGAGAGATCATCGAGAGAAGCACTTTCGAGAAAAAAAAAAATCAATGTTATCGTTCGAAAATCCTCTTCTTGTTACCTTCTTGAAGAGAGAAAGTGTAATAGTACAATCAATCACATCTTCTCCGTGACTAATTGCAAGTATTAGCGAAAGCTTCAAAAACTTTACTCACCGATCGCGCCGTCTCCAGATGCGCCGTACCGTGAATGATAAATTTTACTTCAAGGATAACACCCTCGTCATTGGCGAAGATAATGACCGGCGGATCGCAGAAACGACAGCAGTACCCGTCGACCTATGGCACCCATATACCTGCGGGCGCTCACAAAAGAGAGGACGAGTCCTTCCTTTTCTCTACCTGGACGAACAAAGAGACCCCGTAACGGAATCAACCCTCAGCGAAGAACCGATAATCCCGACAACAGGCAGTCGCATGTTCGGCAGATTTTCGCAAACTCGGTGCCGACGGATTTGTCTGTATAGTTACCGCTAACAGCAATTTCGACATTAATGAATCGAACATCCATTTCGCGAAACAATGGGTGACAGTACTCCAAGTCACTCGGTGAAGCTGTGCGACGCAACCCCCGGCAGGAGGTCGCAAGCTGATCGGCGAAGGGCTCTTCAGCGTCGTCGACGATCAAAGAGCGCGATATTGCGTTCCCCGAGCGAGATTCGACAAATCGAAATTCAGATTGCCATCGTGCGATGGAGCGGGGAGAGTTTGGATAACACGCGGAGGAAGACGAGTTGAACAAAGCAGCGGAAAAGACGTGGAGGCAACGTGAACTTTCTCGAAAGTTTCAATCAGCACTGAGAAATTGATGACTTCAATTTGGCTGTAGAGCTAGGACAAGACTTTCGGAAATGACCACAATATCGATTTTCATCTCTCCTTAATTTCTTATGTACTTCTAAATACAAAGAAATTGTACAAAGACTCTCGATAATGTAAAAAATATAATATAATTGACAATGAGAGAATACAGCGCGTTGAGTGATGCGCAAATTGTAGTTACTTTAGTTAAATTTAAAATAATCAAACGATTGTGATTAATTATGTATTATTTCAATTTCATTATAAATAACTATAATTTGCGCATCAAAACAAAACATTTGTGCTATACTCTCTTGCACATTCCAAAAAGTTTCACAAGTGAAGAAAAACATACGACGTAACTAAGTATATTTACACTCGAATTCTCTTGAGGGCAGGTTATTCTTGAAAAACGAAACTTTAATGAGTTTTCTGCATTAAGTCTTTACCTAGTTTTAAATCTTAAGCCGTAAGAGAAACTAAGCAATCGTAGTATTATTCTCACATCCAACTGTGATTGATCAATTTCTTACGGATTAAGACTTAAAGCTTAACGTAGAATAACTTATTGTAGAAAATCCATAATAATCCACTGGAAACTATTCGTGATTTTATACCTAAAAAAAAAGAAAACAGTTGTCGACTTTATCAATACTTGCTTTTAGAATATAAGATTGCACTTTGATAGGTAGTCGTGTGTGTCGAGCCTCTCAGGATTAATTCTCAACAGCGAAACGAATATAGCGGGACACGCGTAATAATCGTTAATATTTTATTACAGTAATAACTGCAGGGTTGATACTCGATTCCTGAACGCACAATAGCACAACGGCGTATCCCAATCTTAGTACTCACCAACGTCCACCGAGCGGCGCCTCCACTCGCGGTCAATGACGCGCGTCTTCTGCTATCTACGCGTTATCCGGTACGACGCGTATCGACTCCGATTACTCCGGCAACATCTCACCTTGAGAGTTGTCGCCGGCGAATACGACCGACTCATCCCACTCGTTCGTACGAAGAAACGTACGTACGCGAAATACGTATCGGATTTGTCGTTCGCACTAATAGATTTCGAATTAATCCGTCTGACAGAATTTAACGGATGGACAGAACAATTCGATAATTGACTTAACAACAAATTACATCGTCCCTGTTCGCTAATTACAAATCGGAAAACTCGTGCGAATATAAAGGGAGGAGATGACGCGCGGATCTCCCCGCGCTTTTCCTAGAGAGGAGAGAGAAAGGGGGAGACAGAGAGAGAGAGAGAGAGAGAGAGAGAGAGGGAGAGAGAGAGAGAGAGAACCATTGGCGTGGAGGCGACAGTGTGTACATACTTCCCTCACGCACGCGTCGTAAACCGCCTCCTCAACGAACGGAGCGCCTCCGTGGTGGGGTACACCCGGCGCGTAAAGGGGAAGCTACAC